TGTCTGAATCCTGGAGGGTGCTTTGGGCTAAATGTCTGTCTCCCAAAAATTTATATGTTAAAACCCTAACCCCAATGTGATGGTATGAGAAGGTAGGACTTTTGGTAGATGATTAGCTCTAGATGAGGTCATGAGGTTGGAACCCTCATAATAGGATTAATGCCCTTATAAAAGGAGAAAGAGCCACAAGATCTGCCTGTCTCTGCCTGTCTCTGCCTGTCTCTGCCTGTCTGTCTCTCTCCGCCTGTCTCTCTCCGCCTTTTTCCCTCTCTCTCACTCTGTCTCTGTGCATGTCCCAGGAAGAGGACCCTCACCAATAATCCAATTATTCTTGCTTTCTGACCTCAGACTTCCAGTCCCCAGAACCATGAGGAATACATTGTAGTTTTTGAAGTCACCCAGTCTATGGTAATTTGTTAGAGCAGCCTGCACTCACTGAGATGGCAGGGAGGGGAATGACATGAAATGTCTGACACTCCCCAGGTGTCAGTGTGCAGGCAAGGTTGAGAACCACTGAGCAAAGGCTTGAAGAAACAAATTCATATGTCTGCACAGGGTCCCAGAAGTAAACAGCTCAAGCAGATGCAAGAAACAAGGGGCAGGGGGGCACAGTGGACCATTTCCTCAGAACCATGGAAGAATTCCAACTAGCAAATAAGCAAACAATCATGACCTTTAATTTGCATAATGTGGACCCCTGACAACCACCATGTTTGCATTTGAACAGCACTTGCTATTGCCTCAAGAAGGGAGTGGCTGAGAGGTCCAGTACAACTTGTAATGAATTTACCTCTGTGTTTCTGAGGATGCTGCTGATTCATCTTCGGACACTCTGAGCCTGGAAAATAGCCAGTATTCAGTGAATGTTTGAACTGAAAGAACAGCCCTTCAGTGTGATCATGGGCTCCTACTTGAGTGACCAGTGTTGATTGCATTTGGGTTCAAGTTTTTTCTGTACCTTAATTGGGCTAATGTGGTCTGAGGGATGTCGAGAAACTCCACAGAAACCCTAGTGCCTATGACTACTCCCTGAAATCCCACTGTTGGTGCTTTGTGTCTTTCACCGGTTCCTGCCTATACCTTGTCAATTCCATTGTCAGAGGTAGGTCTTCAAGGGTTGGAGGGGCAGAAAGCCTGCTAGTTGTAGGGAAGAGGGGAAAGATCCAGAAAGACCCCTCTGAGAGATAGCCTTGGCATTGGCCAAGACCTAAGACAAATAAAGAAGACTTAAAAGACAGGTACTTATTTTATTTTCAAATGGGAACCTCCTGGCATTTTCTTCTTGGTTCTTGCAGTTTGTATACTATGCCCTGTAGCAGTGTTCACCATTTACCCAGGAACTGATTGATTTTGCTAATCATAGAACACAGAGTGATTTTTGCAAGATTCTTCCAAGCAAGATCATAAAACATTTCTAGGCTGGGCGCAGTGGCTCATGCCTATAATCCCAGCACTTTGGGAGGCTGAAGCAGGCAGATCATCTGAGGTCAGTAGTCTGAGACCAGGCTGGCCAACATGGTGAAACCTCTACTAAAAATACAAAAATTAGGCTGGACGTGGTGGGTGGCTCATGCCTGTAATCCCAGCACTTTGAGAGGCCAAGGTGGGCTGATAGCCTGAGGTCAAGACTTTGAGACCAGCCTGGCCAGCATGGTGAAACCCCATCTCTACTAAAAATATAAAAATTAGCCGGGTGTGGTGGCAGGTGCCTGTAATCGCAGCTACTCGGGAGGCTGAGGCAGGAGAATTGCTTGAACCCGGGAGGTGGAGGTTGCGGTGAGCTGAGATCGTGCCATTTGCACTCCAGCCTGGGGGACAAGAGTGAGACTTTGTCTCAAAAAATATATATATATACACATATATATGTAAATATGTGAATATATATAAAAATATATGCATATATATGTAAATACACACACACACACACACATGCATAAATACACACATACACAAATTAGCCGGGTGTGGTGGCACACACCTGTAATCCCAGCTACTTGGGAGGCTGAGGCAAGGAGAATAGCTTGAACCTGGGATAGGGAGGTTACAGTGAGCTGAGATTGCACCATTGCACCCAGCCTGGGTGACAAAGCGAGACTCCATCTCAAAGCAAACAAAACAAAATTTCTGATAACCAACAAGGGAAATAGTAAAAGACTTGTGCTATTCCATGTGTGTGCCAACCAGTTTACATACTGACTTGTTTACATCCTCTCCCAGTCTGGGGTCCCCAGGAGTGACCCTGAGACAAGGATATGAGTGAGTGGTTCTTTTGGAGGTGCTCTCATGAAGCCCCAGTAAAGCAGTGAAGAAGTGAGACAGGGAGATGAAGGGGGGTCAATACAGGGTGTGCTGATGAGCAACTGGGGCTCAGGTCCACTGGGGAACTTGGGGAGACAGTATCAGTAGTGAACATGCCACAGAATTATTCCATAGGAGGGGCAAGGGAACTGGGCACCATATATCCACCAGCTCCCATCAGTCATTGATTGTGGGCTGCTCCCAGAAGCATTAACTCCTTGGCACTTCTAGTTACCCCTGCACGTGCCCATGCTTTCATGGCCAGAGAAAATGAACAGGTAAAAGGGAGTTGGAGTGCCAAGACATATGGGTAGGGCACCTGCAGCATCTACTACACAGACCAGCCCATTCACATGCCAACCCATCCATGAACAGCCTAGGAGGGCGTCTGCCTAACAAGTGCCAGCATTCCCGTGTACTAATCCATTCATGTAGGTATCTTTTTCAGAGGCCAATTCATTCCAGAGGCACCATTCATATGCCAATTAGTGAGAAAAGTGATGTACACAGAATGTGGCCACTGGAAATATCTCAGGCTTCTGTGAACACAGGTGTCAATTCCACTCTGTAGCATCAGTGTATTTGAAGTGATTTTCCCTGGTAGTATGTTTTAATTCCTTTTTATTTTTAGTGTATCTGTTAGGTTTTGTGGTTGCTTTGTGGTTACCATGAGGTTTATAAAAAACATCTCATAGTTAACAAGTTATTTGAATAGATGACAATTTTGGTCAGAAAGAAAGGAAAAAACTAAAAACCTCTACACTTTAACTGCATTCCCCTGTATTCTTTTTCTTGTCTTAATTTACATATTTTTATATTGCCTATCTCTTAAATTGTTCTAGTTATTATTTTTGATATATTTGTCTTTTAGTCTTCATACTAGAGAAATAAGTGGTTGACACACCACAATTACGATATAAGGGTATTCTGAATTTGTCTGTGTATTTACTTTTACCAGTGAGTTTTGTACCTTCAGATGTTGTCTTTGTTGCACATTAATGTTCTTTTTTTCCAGATTAAAGAACTCCCTTTAGCAATTCTGTAAGACAGTTCTGGTGATGATGAATTTCCTCATCTTTTGTCTAGGAAAATCTTTCTCATGCTTGAAGGACAGTTTTGCTGGGTACAGTATTCTCAGTTGACAGGTCTTTTTTACCTTCAGCCCTTTGAATATGTCATCCTACCCAAGCTGGGTGTGTACGTTTTCTGCTGAGAAGTCTGTTGCGAGATGAATCAGAGCTCCTTTATATGTTATTTGCTTTCTCTTGCTGCTTTTAGCATTTTCTCTTTGTCCTTGACCTTTGAGAGTCTGATTATTCTATACTTTGAGGTAGTTTTATTTGGGTTAAATCTGTTTGGTGATTCTTGACTTTCCTGTACCTGGCATATTTATATTTTTTCTCTAGACTTGGAAAGGTGACTGTTATTATTTCTTTGAATACGCTTTCTGCCCCCTTGGTCTAATTCCCTCTTGAAAGCCAGTACTCCTAGATTTGCTTTTCTGAGGCTCTTTTCTAGATTTTGTAGGCATTCTTCATTCCTTTCATTCTGTTTTCTTTTCTCTCCTCTGACTGTGTATTTTCAAATAGCCTGTCTTTGAGTTCATTAATTATTTCTTCTGCTTGGTCTGTTCTGTTGTTGAGACCTTGTGATGTGTTTTTTAGTTCAGCTAATGTACTTCTCAGTTCCAAGATTTTTGTTTGATATTTTTTAAATTATTTTAATCTCTTTGTTAAATTCCTCTGATAAGTTTCTGAATTGCTTTTCTGTGTTACCTTGGAGTTTGCTGAGTTTCCTCAAGACTGCTATTTTGAATTCCTGATCCATGAGCTCACAGATTGCCATCTTGTTTGGGTCAATCACTCACTGGCTCCTTGCTTTGTCCATTTGAAGAAGTCATAGTTCCTGATGTTAGCAGTTTCTTATGCATGTACACATATGTCTTCACATTGAAGGTTATTTATTCCAGTCTTTGCTGCCTGGGTTAGTTTGGTCTCTTTAGCCTATGTGTGTTTAGACGTTCTGGGCACTTTGTCTACTGATTCCTTTAGCTCTAGATTACTGCCTCCTTTTCAGCACTAAATAGCACCCTAACCCAGGTTTGTCATGACTCTTGCAAAAGTTCAAAGCTCTGACTTTTCACAGATAAAGGGCATCAAAGGGGATTCTACAGCTGTGTGGGGAGGCCGGCTAGTGGTTCATGACCAGAGGGCCTGTGGAGAGTGCCTCTTACAATGTGATGCTGCTGAACCACCTCTCTGATTCAGGGTCTTATTTGTCTGAGATGAATAGTAGCCCCAGAGTTTCACGCACTAGGCTGCTAGCCCCACCTCCACTGTCTATGTGACTCCAGAGGCTTTCAGGGGTCCCTCACCCTACAGGTATTCATGATTCTTCCTGTGGGTTGAGGCAGGAATACTTTCCTGAATAGGTAGTCAAGATGATGAAGTTGGCTGGCTGCCTTGATCTCACTTTTTCCAGTGTAGAAATGTCCAGGGAACTTTTCTGCCTGGTGACTTACAGTTTGGGGAAGAGATGTTACAGAGGAGTCCATTTTACTACCTTCTGCTCACAGTTTTTCACTTTTCTGTGGCCCCAGGATTTGTCAAAGCCTCAGTTTTGAGTTCTGGGATATTGGTGTTTATCATCTTGGCACTAGATCGTTGTTGTTGGTTTTCTATGGGGGGCAGTGAAGCCAGATTGCTTCTACTTTACCATTTTGGTGACACCCAACATCTATGTATTTTACAGGGGCTGGGATTGGGCTGGTCTTACATGCACTCATGCAGTCATTCAAGAAAAGAGGATGTTCACACTAGTTCTTTTTTGGGTAACAAAGAACAGCTCAGGAAGATTTTAATTTAACTGAAAGTACAACTTCCAAGAATAAAGGTGTTTTGTTTCTCATATTTCAAGAAAAGCAGTGGCATCCATAAGGTTGCTTCATCTACATGAGGTGGTGCGTTTAAAAAAGGAGGACAGATACATTAATTGGACTTTGGGGAATGGTGATAGTTTTTTTCCTAATGCCCTGACACAAAGGGCATTGGCCAAATTTCTGCAGGGCCTCAAGAATGAACTCGGCTCTCATAAGGGATTTGCCTCCAAGACTCAGGGTCTCAGGTGACAGGCTACATGACCCTGAAAGACAACACAAGAAAACCAGCTCAGCCAGTGTCTGTCATCTGAGAGATAATGAACCCTTCACTTTTTAACAAGGTGGTAAAACTTCCCTTTTGCAAAGAATAGCATAACATTTTTGTATATGTCAATCAGCCTGTTTTGCACCAACTTGAAAGCAATGAACACAATCTCCATTCCAATGATGATATAAATGGAGAAGAACAGGAAGAAGTTAGGGTGTTCTAAAACAGTATCCCCAAACCCAATGGTGGTCAGCGTGACAAAGCAGAAATAGAAGGCATTCTCAAAATCCAACTGTGTCTCCCAGAAGGGGAGGATGGCGGCTGCACAGGAAATGTAGGCAAAAACAATAAGGGCAATGATAGGGAGAGGGATGTCCAGCCTCTCCACCTGCTGTCCAGCTTCATCCAGGTTGCTGATGATGGAGGATGAGAGTCTCCCCAACACCAGTTCAGGACACGAGTTACTCCTCTCCATGGCTTGTGGGGGAAGTTGCAGTGTGTTCTGTTTCTCTCGCGCATGAGATCTCTCAAACAGCTCCATGCTGCAGCTTGGGCGTGAAGGACATGTGCCAAGTTTGGGGCCTGGAAGCTCTTCAGCACCGATGATGATCTGAGGGACCGCTTCATCTGCAGGCTTGGGTTCTGGTTTTTTCTTGAAGAGAGATTGGGGGCACCACTTGGAGAGGGGGCGGGTAAAGAAAGGGAATTTTCGGAACCGATTATAAGATGTGGTTAAGATGGTTGCCAGGATGTCACCTGTGTCCGTGAGAACGAGGAACATCAGGGGGATACCAAAGAGAGCATAGAGCATGCACAAGTACTTGCCAAGCCTGGTGACGGGGTAGATGTAGCCATAGCCTGAAAAAGAAGATGGACTTAGAGTTTGCATCTGGCCCCTTCCCTTTTCCCCCCCAAAAAGCTTTAAAGAGACCTTCTGCCATTTCCCCTCCTTGGCATGACATTTTACACAATGTTTTTGAAAATACTCATCTCAAAGCATTCAGCCACTGGTCTGGCATTAGGCCTGCTTTGCTGGGAGGGAAAGGAGTGAAACCCAGCTTCCTTTTAGGATGAGGAGCAACTGATATCCAGGTCTTTGACTTGAAATGTCCTTGGCAGGGGACCAGCACAGGTTTGGGGTGGACAGATTGCCTTTGATTCTGCTCTGGCCATTTCTGAGCACCCCCTGAAGGAAGGCCTCAGCTGACCTGGAAGGACAGGATGAATACAAGTGAGAGAGGATGGATGGCTTTGTAATCATATCCAATGCCACTTTTATTCTCTGTGAAGGTGCTGGCTTTTAAGAAGCTGCCCTTGGCCAGGTGTGGTGGTTCATGCCTGTAATCCCAGCACTTTGGGAAGCCAAGGTGGGCAGATTACCTGAGGTCAGGAGTTGGAGACCAGTCTGGCCAATACGGTGAAACCCCGTCTCTACTAAAAATACAAAAATTAGGCGTGGTGGCGGGCGCCTGTAGTCCCATCTACTCAGGAGGTTGAGGCAGGAGAATCACTTGAAGCTGGGAGGTGGAGGTTGCAATGAGCCGAGATTGTGCCATTGCACTCCAGCCTGGGGGATGAGAGCAAGACTCCATCTTAAAAAAAAAAAAAAAAAAAAGCCACTCCTGTCCTCCATAAGAGGACTGGGCTATTTGTTTCTATGTAAGAGGCACTTATTGTGTCCCCACGGTGTGCTCAGCAGTGTGTATAGTATTAGGAAAAACAAAGATGGAAGATGAGTAAAATACAATTGCCCTCAGAGCTATTTGTTGCTTAGCAGATTAGACAAACATGTTCCTACTGAAGCAATTAGCCTCCCAGCATCTAGGTTCTGACTGACCTTGCTTTGAATCCCAGCTCTGCTATTTATGATAATATTACTTGACTGCGGCGGGGCGCGGTGGCTCAAGTCTGTAATTCCAGCACTTTGGGAGGCCGAGACCATCCTGGCTAATCCGGTGAAACCCCGTCTCTACTAAAAAATACAAAAAACTAGCCGGGCGAGGTGGCAGGCGCCTGTAGTCCCAGCTACTCAGGAGGCTGAGGCAGGAGAATGGCGTAAACCTGGGAGGCGGAGCTTGCAGTGAGCTGAGATCCGGCCACTGCACTCCGGCCTGGGTGACAGAGCGAGACTCTGTCTCCAAAAAAAAAAAAAAAAAAAATTACTTGACTGCTCACATTTTCAGGTTTCATCTGTAAGATGGGGATGACAATGCCTACTTTGCATATTGACTAGCTGGGAGGATTACATGAGGCCCGTGCTTGACACACAGTGTGCAACTGATAACTGGTGTCTTCACCCTCCAGACCTTAGCTGCCTAGTGAGCACTTCCTGTGGGCTGGGTGTCAGTCAGCCTTCATAGGGAGGTATTGTTATCACCATTCACAGGTGGGGAAACTGAAGCACAGAGAAACGAAGTAGCTTGCCCGTGAGCATACACGTGATACGCAGTGGAGCTGGGATCAAATCCACAGGACTCTCAGGTCCCCAACCAGTGCTGTCACCCTCAGGAGCATCCAGCGGCAGGACCATTCAATCAGAGAGAACCCGGCAGCAAAACAAAGGAAGGGATGGGCTGAGGTCTCCATCCCCGTCGGGAGTCCCTCCCCTCCCCTTGCACCAACAGAGGGGCGGGAGCAGACAGACCTCAAACCCCACAGTACAGGTGGCTAGATCTGCTGGAGCAGGCAAGCATCAATGACTTCAACAAGCAGAGGACAAAACTTTTATATTTAATGCCTGTGTTTAATTTTGATGTCATAAAGGATGATTAATACAGAAAAACCCAGCCCAATTATGTACATTAATCTGAAGGCAACTCCTCAGCTGGCTAAGCCCCAACTTCCTCCAGAAGTGCAGCTCCCTGTGGCACACTTTGGCCTCAGGCTCTGCCCTCCAAGAGCAGGTGGGCATTCAGGTTGCCCACCCTCACCAGAGTCCCAAGTACGGGAGGGAGCTGTGGCCCTGAAACAGTCTCATCAGTTTGCATCTATCCCAGAGCACTCCATGCCACTCTGGCTGGTTCCACTAGGTACCATTCGATGGCAGTGTCAGTTAACTGTGTATTTGCATGCATGCATTCATTCATTCATTATTGAGTGCTTACTGCATGCACTGGGGGCATAGTGCTGAGCAAAATGGATATGGGATATGACCCCTCTGAGCCTCTGGTTTGGTAAGAGAGGCAGACATTAATTTTAAAAATCACACTAATGGGTATGGAATTACAAATGGAGATAAATAACAGGAAGTGAAAAAGCAGACCATGAATGATTAGAACAAAGGCACCTATCCTGGGCTGGGCACGACGGCTCATGCCTGTAATCCCAGCACTTTGGGGGCCAAGGTTCCTGATCATTTGAGGTCAGGAGTTCAAGACCAGCCTGGCCAACATGGTGAAACCCTGTGTCTACTAAAAATACAAAAATTGGCCAGGTGTGATGGTGCATACCTGTAATCCCAGCTACTTGGGAGGCTGAGGCACGAGAATCACTTGAACCCAGGAGGTGGAGGTTGCAGTGAGCTGAGATCGTGCTACTGCACTCCAGCTGGGGCGACAGGGCAAGACCCTGGCTCAAAAGAAAACAAAAAACAAACCAAAAAACAACCACAAGGCACCCATCCTGGATTTGGGCCCAGGAAAGATTTTTCCTGTGAGGGGATTTTTGAGCTGATGTTGGCAGGGGGCCAAGAACTACCCAGGTGAAGAGAGAGGAAGCAGCCTGTGCAAAGACCCTATGGCAGGTTTGACAAAGGACTATCCATACAGTGACAGTGGGGCAACTTGTGTACTGCACATATACCAAGGGGGTGACTGGGAGCTGAAACCTAGCCTCTGTGCACTTACCAAGCTCAGAGCTCAGAGCTCAGGGCTCACAGCACTGGGCTGTGTCTGCCTAGCAAGGGATATGGTTTTCTAATTTTTCACCAAGATGTCACTCTGAGTATAGCTGTCACCCAGGTTTAAGGAACCAAGAGAAGGCCAGTGTGGCTAGTGTACAGGGAGGTAGGGGAGGGGAGCAAGGTGAGGCCGGGAGGTAGGCAGCATCTAACGGCTTCCATGGCAGATGGGGGAGCGCCTTGATCAGTGTGGAAGGCTGAAAAATGACAGCCCCCAAATATAGCCAAGTCTTAATTCCTGGAATCTGTCAGTGCTGCCGTATTTGGAAAGTGAGTCTTTGTAGATGTGATTAAGGATCTCGAGATGAGGAAGTTATCCTGGATTGTGTGTGTGGCCCTAGGTATCATTACAAGTGTCCTGATAAGGGAGAGCCTGAGCAAGATATTTTACACACAGAGAAGAGGAGGTAATATGACCTCAGAGGCAGAGACCAGAGTGATGTGGCCACAAGCCAGGGGTTGCTGGCAGCCACCAGAAGCTGCCAAGGAAGGGTCCTCCCCTAGAGCCTCAGAGGGAGCATGGCTCTGCCAATACCTTGATTTTTGAAATCAGTAAAACTGATTTCAAACTTCTGGCCTCCAGATCTTGACAGAATAAATTTCTATTGCTTCAAGCCACTGAGTTTGTGGAAATTTATTACAGCAGCCACAGGAAACAAAATCAGGTTTGCATCTTTTTTTTTTTTTAAGATGGGATCTTGCTCTTTTGCCCTGGCTGGAGTGAAGAGGCGTGACCTTGGCTCACTGCAACCTCCACCTCCTGGGTTCAAGCGATTCTCCTGCCTCAACCTCCTGAGTAGCTGGGACCATAGGCGTACCACCATGCCTGGCTAATTTTTGGATTTTTAGTAGAGATGAGGTTTCACCATGTTGGCCAGGCTGATCTCGAACTCCTGACCTCAAGTGATCTGCCCACCTCAGCCCTGCAAAGTGCTGGGCTTACTACAGGAGTGAGCCACCACTCCTGACTTGGTTTGCATCTTGAAAAGATCATCCTGACTGCATCACAAACAGTAAACTGGAGGGCTTCAGATGGACACAGGAAGATAAGTGGGGAGGCTATGGTTCCTGCCCAGGTGAGAGATGAAGGGGGCTTTGGCTAAGGCAGGAGCTGAGAGGAGAGACCTGTAGAGACTGGCTAGACAATTTTGGCAGAAATCTCAAGACAGGAGGATGGTTTGGATTGGAGTGTCTGAAAGGAGCTGGGATTTGAGCACAGAGCAGGCACTGTGAATCCACCGGAATAAACTGCTGTCCTTGGTGAAGGTGGGTTTACAGGATTATAAACAAAGCCTTTCTGGCTGCCTCTGGGTGAGATACTTTTGCAATCCAAAATATGCAATATGTCACATTCCTGAAAATGTTTCAAGGAAGCAGGTCTCAGAGAGCACACAACCCCTACAAATGGAATGTATTAACTATCCTAATTACTGAATGCCGAAATGCATAATGGAACTCATTATTTCTTAGAATGCATTCGTATATTTTGATACAATCAGTTCACTGTACTTAGCCTGTAAGTACTTAATAGCCCATGCACTTTCCTTTCTAATCCAAGAGGGCTGACCCAGTTGGGAATGACTGGGGATTGACTGACCTCACACCTGTCAGGTATCCTGTTCTTAGCATTAAGGCCAGGTGCATTTCAGATGATCCAGAGATGCAGGGCAGGAAGCAGTATTACCAGAGGGACTTTCAAACACCATTATTGATTATGGACAGTGCGGAACACTCTCCAACATCCTCTTCTAGTTGTAATTTCTGGGCGGCATGATGTCCTAATTGACTTGTACAATAGGCAGTAGCATGACCTTCTTGGAATTTAAGCCAAGCTAATGCATTTCCATTAGATCAGTGACTCACAGCCTAGACTTCCACTAGAATCACCTGGAGGGCCCTGGAAAATACTGATGCCTGGGCCTGGTCCCTAGGGATTCTAATTGTTTGGTCTAGGGCAGGGTCTGCACATGGGAGCTTGCAAAAGCTCTGCAGGTGACTCTGACATGCAGCCAGGGCATGCTTCTCAAACATTAGCACACATCAGAATCATATGGAGGACTTTCTAAACTACAGATTGCTGGGCCCCACAGCCATGGTGTCTGGCTCAGTAGGTCTAGAATGGCTCCTGAGAATTAATTTGCATTTCTAACAAGTTTCCCAGTGATATCGATGTTACTCAGGGACCACATTTTGACAACGATTGCAATAGATCAGTTCTCCACGGGGGCAATTTTGTCCCCCAAGGGAAATTTGGCAATGCCTGGAGACTTGTGGCTGCCATAATGGGTGGGGACAGTGGGGAAAGTGCTATTGCATCTGGTGGGTGGAGGCCAGAGATGCTGCTCAACATCCTACATTGCACAGGAGCCTCCTCCACAGAGAATTATCCCATGCAAGAGGCTGATAGTGCTGAGGTTGAGAAATCCTGCCTCAGATGCATCTAAGGTTTTTTCGGGTTTGTTTGCTTGTTTGAGACAGACTCTGCCAGAGACAGACTCTGCCATCAGGCCAACTCTTGCCTCCCAGGCTGGAATGCAGTGGCATGATCATGGCTCACTGCAGCCTCAACCTCCAGGGTTCAAGTGATGCTCCCACCTCAGCCTCCTGAGTAGCAGGGACTACAGGTGCACAACACCACTCCCAAATGATTTTTTAATTTTTTGTAGAGACGAGGTCTCATTGTATTTCCCAGACTGGTCTCCAACTCTCACCTCATCCTCCCAAAGTGCTGGGATTATAGGCATAAGCCAGGGCACCTGGACCAATCTAAATTCTTGAGGAGGCTGGGCATGGTGGAGCATGCCTATAATCCCAGTGCTTTGAGAGGCTGAGGCAGGTGGATCACCTGAGGTCAGGAGTTCAAGACCAGCCTGGCCAACATGGTGAAATCCTGTTTCTACAAAAATGCAAAAATTAGCCAGGCATGGCCTGGTACGGTGGCTCATGCCTGTAATCCCAGCACCTTGGAAGGCCGAGGCGGACGGATCACCTGATGTAAGGAGTTCAAGACCACCCTGATGGATATGATGAAGCCCCATCTCTACTAAAAATATAAAAATTAGCCGTATTTTTGCCATTAGCATGACATAGTCAGCTACTCGGGAGACTGAGACAGCAAAATTGCTTGAACTCGGGAGGTAGAGATTGCAGTGAGCCGAGATTGCGCCATCACACTCCAGCCTGGGCAACAAGAGCAAAACTCTGTCTCAAAAAAAAAAAAAAAATTCCAGGCATGATGGCAGGTGCCTGTAATCCGAGCTACTTGGAAGACTGAGGCAAGAGAATTGCTTGAACCTGGGAGCCTGAGGTGGCAGAGATGGCACCATTGCACTCCAGCCTGGGCAACGGAGCAAGACTCTCTCTCAAAACAAAAAAAAGCTTAAGGAAAACAAAAAGACAAAGTAAACTTAATAGCTTCTAGCCCCTTTGTACAGCACCTCAGCATTTTGGGAGGCCGAGGCCGGCAGATCACCTGAGGTCAGGAGTTCAAGACCAGCCTGACCAACATGGTGAAACCCCATCTCTAGTAAAAAATACTAAAATTAGCTGAGTGTGGTGGTGCACACCTGTAATCCCAGCTACTTGGGGGCTGAGACACAAGAATCACTTGAACCAGGGAAGTGGAGGTTGCAGTGAGCCGAGATTGTGCCACTGCACTCCAGCCTGGGTGACAGAGCAGGGCTCCACCTCAAAAAAAAAAAAAAAAAAAAAAAAAAAAAAAAAAAACCTTCAGGCGAACGGGAGAGACCACATGGGGGCTGTCTATTTCTGAAGCTGGGTGCAGCAGACACCGGTTCCCCACCCAGCAGCCATTCCCTCCTTTCTTCCCTGCAGACCCACTGCTCCCCCAGCTGATTTAGGAGCAGATCCGATTAGTCTTAGTCATCCTGGTGCTCCAGTCCCCCTGCCTGGGACCAGCACAGAGGTGGCTGGGAGGCCCAGTGGGAGACTGCCAGGAAGACATCTTCGCTGCTGATGAACCATGCAGAGAGACAGCCCCCCTTTCTGTATAAGACACAGTGATGCTCGGATGGGATGTGGACCTTGGTGGCCTCATGTGGCCCAGTGAGCAGAGGGATGGAGAAAACCTGATGCCCAGTGCCGTGACTGCAAATGGGAACTGGGCATGAGCTGCGTATCAGCCTAGAGCCGTTCTCATACTGGACTTCTGACTTGGAAGGCGACATTCTCCTTGAAGTTTAAGCCAGCTGAGTTGGGTTTTCTGTTTGTCACTGCTGAAGGCATCCTGGCTGCCACTTACATGCATAGCCATCAGCCAACCCTGAGAGGCAGGTCTAGAAGTGCTTACGGGTCCCAGTAAAAGGCTCAGAGGGGCGACGTCCCTTGCTGGAGATTACACAGCTTCGACCCAGGCTGGCCACTGTGCTCCACCCTGACCTTCAGCATGAGGGGCCCCATCCATTCTCTGCAACCCCTGTGGGCCAGGCCCTCCTAGGGATGAGCACTTGCTCTCTTGAAGGAGGAGAGGGCCCGCAGTCCCTTTTGCCAGCTGAGAAGGGCAGGGGCTGAGTGACGGGCTGCGCTCCTGGTGGGGACTCTGACCCAAGGGCTCCGGCCCTGTGGCTGAGGGCAGCTCCATCACCTCCTGTGACCCCTGCCCAGGCAGGGGAGGCTCCTGCCAGGCCTGGTTTGGCCCCTGCAACCTGGCCCCACCAGAAGGGAAGCTGGGGCTGGGCCAGCCAGCTCAGAGTGAGCCCTTAATCACCAGAGGCACCTTAGTTAACTGCTGACCCAGCAGCATCACACCCCCAGCCCAGGAGGTCTAGCTCTGCTGCAGCATCCCCCACCACTCTCCTGACCATTCTCTGCCCTCCAGCCACAGTGGTCATGTCCTCAAAGGGGCCACTAAACCAACATTTTGCCCATAAGGGTGGGGAAGCATCTCCCTCCCAGTTTCTATGTGCCAGGTGCATAGAAAGTGATGCATACAGAGAGGGAACAGGGTGCTGGGTCTAGACCCAAGTGGCTGGGTTCAAACGCACATGAACGGTGTGACTTTTTGAAATTGACGGACCTGCTGGAGTATGGGAACAATAACAGCACCCACCTCATGGTGAGGATTAGAGGAGCTAATCAGCATAAAGGTCTTATAACAGGGCCTGGTGCATCTTCAGTGCAAAAGTGTCGGCCAGCGCAGCTGCTATTTGTAGGTGTGCAATATAGATTTGAGGAAGGGAGGGAAGAAGACAGAGGAGGGCCATCTCCACACCCCAATTCCAGTGTCCTTTGCCACCCAGAAGCCCACCCTTCACAGGGCCACCGTGAGGGGGACTGTGGCTTTGCACTTACCCACGGTGCTGAACACTGTGCAGCAGAAAAAGAGCGAGCTCAGGAAGGACCAGTTTGTGGTCCTGTTAAACCACTGAGGCTTCACCTTCTGCAGATGCCCCTGGAGATCCTGTTTCCTATCTTCCACCACTGGAGAAAGACCAAGAGTTTGAGGGAAAGGTTCTGCTGGTAAAGACAAGCCCCGCCCCCGGTGAAAGGGGGATAGTCTTCCCCAAGGACCAGCAGCCCCCTCGCCTTGTGGTCAGTATCAACACCAAAGCTTGGTGATTGAAGCCCTCCTTTAAAATCTTTCTGCAGCCTGGCTCCTGCCTTTGCTCCCCATGGAGATAAGGAGGCCACTTAGCCCTGTGAGAAAAGCACCTAAGAGGTCCATGGGGGGTCCCGCCAGAGCTTAGCCCTGGCATTGCTGTGTAGTCTTTGCCTTTTAATTTTCTGAACCTCCATTTCTTTCATCTTTTTTGTTTGTTTGTTTGAGACAAGAGTCTTGCTCTATTGCCAGGCTGGAGTGCAGTGGTGTGATCTTGGCTCACTGCAACCACTGCCTCCCTGGTTCAAGCAATTCTCCTGCCTCAGTCTCCCAAGTAGCTGGGACTACAGGGGCGCACCACCACACCCCTGCCCAGCTAATTTTTGTATTTTTAGTTGGGAGGGAATTTCACCATGTTGGCCAGGATGGTCTCAATCTCTTGACCTCGTGATCCACCTCCCTCGGCCTCCCAAAGTGCTGGGATTACAGGCGTGAGCCACCACACCCCGCCTCTTTCATCTTTCAAAGGAAGATAACTTCTGCTCTGCCTCTCACACAGGGTTCTCAAGTACTAAAAGCAAAAGGCTTTTAGGAAAAGCAAGCTGTTTCACAGATGCAAATCATCCCCACTCCTGGAGGTTATTACACTTGATGGAGTTTGCCAGGCATGATGGCTCATGCCTGTAATTCCAACATTTTGGAGGGCTAAGGTGGGCGGATCATTTGAGGTCAGGAGTTCAAGTCCAGCCTTTCAACATGGTGAGACCCTGTCTCGACCAAAAATGCAAAAATTAGCCAGGCTTGGTGGCACACACCTGTGGTCCCAGCTACTCGGGAGGCTGAGGCAGGAGAATCATTTGAACCTGGACAGTGGAGGTTGCAGTGAGCCGAGATAGCGCCACTGCACTCCAGCCTGGGTGACAGAGCAAGTCTGTGTCTAGAAAAATAAAAACTTGATGGAGTTTGATCATCATACCATCATACTGTGATCTTTGGGCACCAGCTACCTGTGAGTGTCTCCTCCAGGGCTGGGAAAACTTGACTTCCTAAACATGGGTTCCAGGGCTAATAGCAGGGTTGGGAATCCTGGTTTCCCAGAGAGGTTCCTGAATGGCTCAATTGGCCTGGGCAGCCAGTGGGCTTTGGGACCCCAGAGGCCACCTGCTAGACTCTGGTTCAGCCTGAAGAGAATGGCACTGAGCCTGGCATGCAGCAGGAAGTCACTACTCCTTTTAACTGGCACCAGCCTGGGAGTCTACGCACCTCAATTCCAGACCCAGCTCTGACCTTGACAAGTTCTGTAACTGTGGACAAGAGGCTGCCTTCTGAGCCTCAGTTTCCCCATCAGAGAGACAGCCTGAGATGGTGGTGAAAGGTTCAGGCTCTGGAATCCAAATACATGGGGTTAAGTCCCTGGGTCCATTTTTCTAGTTTGTGAACTTAGACAAATTGCTTAACCTCCCAAGGCCTCAATTTCCTAATCTGTAAAAGAGGGACAACTTCTACCCAACATATAGGCTTCTTGTGAGGATTAGGTGAGAGAACGTGTGAAGTGTTTGCCACAGGGTCTACATGCAACTAACCCTTATGGAACATTTTAATCTCCAGTGAAACTCGGTACCAAATGGAGTGGGACCAGCTCTGCGTTCCCATACCCTGCTGTGCATTGGAATCACCCAATAAACTTTATTTTTACTTATTTACTTTTGAGACATGACTGGCTCTGTCATCCAGGCTGGAGTGCAATGGCATAATCACAGCTCACTGTAGCCTCAAACTCGCAGGCTCAAGCGATCCTCCTGCCTCAGCCTCCCAAGTAGCTGGGACTACAAGTGCATGCCACTTCATCTGGCTAAATTTTTAAACTTTTTGTAGAGACAGGGTCCCACCTTGTTGCGCAGGCCTGATTCTCCCACTTTGGCCTCCCAAAATGCTAGGATTATGGGCGTGAGCCACCGTGCTTATCCTGGAAACTTGAAGACTCCCAGCCCAGCCCTGGAGATCCTGATTAAGTGGGTTTGGAGAAGAGCCTGGGAATGTGTACTCTAGGCAGTCTCCCTGGGTGATTCTGATGTGTTGCTGGCTTGGAAAGCCTTGAACTTGCTGGTAGTCTAGACCCTGCGATGGTACAGTGTCCCTTTGATAGCAGTTTCCCAGGTTCACTGAGCAGGCTGGCTCCCGTCTGGCAAGGATGCAGGGAGTAGGACCCTCCACAGACAGGGTACTCTGCCTCTCTGGACCAGCCTCTTGTTCCTGGGAGCCGCACCTGTTCCCAGAGCAAGGTCAGGGATGTTGAAGGAGCCCCCACACCAGAGTGGGAGGGGGGGAGCTCCCTGCACCCTGTTCTTCTGCTGACTTTGAGTCTGGTTTCATTTGTCTTTCATTTATCTACTCTCCCTTGTTTTATCTTGTTCTGTTGAATATAATAACAAGCTTCCTTTGTGGAACACAGAGTAGAAACAAGTGACTAAATACAAAGAAAATGCAATAAGGACACTATAAAGTGCCTTCTGTCTTCTAAGAGCCAGAATGTTCCTTGTCTCTTCTGCTTCTCACAGGGTCCCTGTGACCTCCAGGCCTGAGATTGGGGGTCCCCTTCTCTCCCGCAGACTGAGACCCAAAGAGAATAAAGCTTTGCCTCCACAGATTGCGGAGCAAGCTGGGAGAGCAGCCGGGACAAGAGCCAGGACCCCCGCCCCTCCCCCAGGTCTTCTCACAGCACCTCCCCACTCACCTGAGCCAGACAGCAGAAAAGGATTTTAAAACAGGAAGTGGGGGGGGGGGGGGGAGCTGGTGCTCCTGCTGGGATTCAAACCCAATTTGGGTTGTTCCCTAACTTCTCATCCCTGCAAACTGAATCCTGGGTCAAGCAGACATAGTCCTGAGAAGCAACTTAGCCCCCCAACCCCAGGCCCAGATTTGCTCACCCACGTACCCCACCCCACCCAATTCCCAGTAATCCACCCTCCCCTGAGGCTGCTGGTCTGGATGGGGCTGGGAGCTGAGACACAGGAAGGGGAGCTGGTCTTTCCCGAGCACCTCCTGGGTGCTCAGGGCCTTTCCTGCATTCTTCACAGCAACCCCAAAAGGTGGTTAGTCTCCCCACTTTTCAAAGAAGAAAACAGAGGTTCAGAAAGCCAGTTACTCGCCTAAAGTGCCCAGGCATGAGGAGGATCCAGGCAGGCAGCTCCCAGACCCAGCCTCCTGGAAGGCAGCCCTCTGCTCTCAGGGGACTGCTGCCACCACGGAGAAAAGGCCCACCCTGTCCCGGTGAGGCACCTACCTGTTTCACTGCAGTTCAAGATTCTGCAGAGCTCCTCCAAGAACTTCTCAAATTCTCCATCATCTGCTGCCACCAGGACCTGGCCATCCTCAACGGCAGAGAAGAGCACAGCACCCACCAGGGCGTAGGTCACCAGAAAGCAGAGGAAGCAGAGGCCGGGAAAGAGCTTCCCCAGGGCCTCTGGGCAGCATCTCCTGGCCTGGGGGTGCCCGGAGGCCTCCATCCTCCCTGGAGCATGCAGGGCAAGAGTTGCTGGTGGAAGAGGCAGGAGCATCTAAGCCCCGCCAGGAAGATGGGGTAGGAGTGCCCGGAGAACAGCCAGGCTCCAGCGCTAAGTGGATGGTGCGTGTGCTTCCCCAAGGACTCAGGAAGCAGCCGGCAACTCATCATGTTCAGTTCATCCGAACTACTCAGATGGCGCCCTCCCTAGCACCCCAGATTGCTATTGATCTGCTGGGCTGGCCCTGGAGCTGCCTGGAAGGGGCTTTGGGAGGATAGTGTGGTGGTGGTTTTGTGCTACGTGTAATCTTTTCTATCCCCGAACTGCAGTTTTGAATTGCAGATCCCAAACCTGATCTTTGGCATTTAGTCAAGTGATTCTTTCCTGGGAGCTGCCTGTGACACCACTTGGCTTAGGGTACCTGGTCTCCTGGACAGGTGATAATAGTAGTAACTAATAATAGTAATAGTAACGAGAGTGAGTAATGCGGCCAGTGCTCAGTAGTTTCCAAAGGACCTTTATCCTGTATGGATCTAATTACTGGTCCCCATGCTTCACGGCCGTGCTGCATACCCCCTCTTGCCGTGGCCTCACGGTGGGCAGAGTGTACTTCCTTGAACTTGGCTTTACAGCAGGTCATCTCAGTTGCTCCAGCCAGCTGGGCATTAGCAGATGTGATGCAAGCAGGGGCGAGGCCTGTGCTTGTGCATTTGGACTTCCTCAGCTATGCCTTTGTCTGCCATGAGAAAAGGTGCCCCAGCTTTCAATTTTCAGTTCAGAGTAGGCCAGTGTGCAACTTTTTTTGGTCGTCCTGAATCCAGGTTCATCCAACACCAGCTACCTCCACCCCGCACCCTAAGTTTGACCCCAACGAGACTAAAGTCTGAGGTGCACCGGCAATGATGTTGGTGCCATGTCTGTGCTGGCCCCTAAGATCAACCCCCTGTGTCTGTCTCCAAAACACATTGGTAATGACATTGTTAGGGCAACCAGCGACTTGAAGGATCTGAGGATTACAGTGAAACTGACCATTCAGAACAGACAGGCACAGGTTGAGGTAGTACCTTCTGCCTCCGCCCTGATCATCAAAGCCCTCAAGGAACCTCCACGAGACAGAAAGAAACAGAAAAACATTAAGCACAATGAAAATATCATTTCATGAGAATGTCAACATTGCCTGACAGATGCAGCTCCGATATTTAGTTAGGGAACTCTCTGGAACAATTAAAGAGATCCTGGGGACTGCACCGTCTGTGGGCTGCCATGTTGATGGTCACCACCCTCATGACATCAACAATGATACAGCGGAATGCCCAGCTTGTTAAGCGCAAAGGAAAATACTTCAATAAAGGATCATTTGACAACCAGTGGGGGTAAAAAGTGCCTCAGATGGCAGCTGTGGAGATGCAGGCAGGTTTAGATCCCTCTTCCAGAAAGGACTCACTGTGCAGCTTTGAAGAGCATGGTTCATGACAGCCCCTTTCATTCTCTAAGGGTTTGCTACTGGTTTCAAGCCCTCTTCTTGGAGAAGCCTGTGCCTACTGACTAAACAAGGCGGGGACCCAAGGGCCTATTCATTTCTGCCCAATACAGGACTCCTCCAACCTGCAGTCTTTGTTCCAGAGTGGCCCGTTGGTCTACAGAGACCTTGTTAGTCTGCGTTATGATCCAGAGACTTTCCCTGTTCCATCTACTTCCTTTGTTTTCATTTTACCAGTCTTCCCAATAAAGCTTTTGCAATCGTGACTCTGTCTTGGTGTCTGCTTCCCAGAGGATCCAACAGTAGTTGGCACCAGAAGTGTTCTGAGAAAGGCTGCTCAAAAAGCTAAGATGGGGGCTGGGCACAGTGGCTTGCACCTGTAATCCCAGCACTTTGGGAGGCCGAGGGGAGCGATTGCTTGAGGCCGGGAGTTCAAGACCAGCCTGGCCAACGTGGCAAAACCCCATCTCTACTAAAAATGCAAAAATCAGGTGTGGTGGTGCACACCTGTAATTCCAGTTATGTTGGGAGGCTGAGGCACAAGAATTGTTTGAATCTGGGAGGCAGAGGTTGAAATGAGCTGAGATCATACCACTGCACTCCAGCATGAACAACAGAGTGAGACTGTCTCAAAAAAAAAAAAGCTAAGATGGGGTTTGAGGACTGGGTCCCTCAATACTGAGGTGGTAAGGAGATGATATATAGGTAGCCTTTGGTGCAAGGTGGCTGCCCAACTATTAAACTTGTCACCAGCAGTGAGATGGGATGGCATGTTGACTAGTGCAATGATTCGCATTCGAAACATTGAAGGAATGATAAACACAAGATTAATAAGTTTGGATGGCTATTATGAAGTTGCACTGACCCCCTGCAGGCAAGCTTCGAAGAAGGAAGTTCATAGAACAAACAACCCCTGTTACTGCCACCAGTCTCAAGGCTGCAACTGACACTCATCATCTCCTTCCTTCACTATTCATTCTAACTTTTCCTTGCCCTCTGCTACCTCTTCTACTGGTCTCAATGGCTTACCCGATGGAATGATCCTAATCCTCATCCCTGGGGGGTCTGAGCCCTTGGTAACCACATCCTTTTCAGGTTGGGGCTGCTTGTGCTTGTCCACTTACAGACAGTTGGGTAAGAAGTACCAAGAGGTGCCCAAGTGAGTCACCTGAGCTCCACCTATATTATTCTCTACCCTCCTTGTGTGAAAGCAGCCCTGCCTCCTGCTGACCAGGTCAATTGCCCCTGTATTAATCCGTCCTCATGTTGCTGCAAGGATACTACCCAAGACTGGGTAATTTATAAAGGAAAGAGGTTTAATTGACTCACAGTTCAGCATGGCAGGGGAGGCCTCAGGAAACTCACAATCATGGCGGAAGGGGAGGCAAACACATCCTTCTTCACAGGGTGGCAGGAAGGAGAATGAGTGAGTGCCCAGCGAAGGGGGAAGCCCCCATAAAACCATCAGATCTTGTAAGAACAAACTATCGTGAGAACAGGATGGGGGAAACGACCCCATGATTCAATTGTCTCCATCTGGTCCCTCCCATGACACATGGGGGTTATGGGACTTACAATTCAGGAGGAGATTTGGGTGGAACACAGTCAAAACATATCAGCCCCTGACAAGATGGCCACTCATTTTCTTACCTGCTGGTTCCTGGACACAAGGATCTCAAAGGGCCCAGGGAGCAGTCATAAGGTGTATTCAGTGTACCCCTTGCTGGGTTTCCAGATGAGTGTGTCCCCCTTGGGGACCAAGAATTCTAACACTGCAGAGCCTAGAGTTCTGGAGATGGGAAAAAGTGAAGACGACATGTAGTTGTATAATTTTCCATTTGAAATAGAAAGGGGCAAATGCTTCATTGCACCTGTACCACCCTGAAGAAAGAGAAGGCAAGATCTCCAAGACTTGAGCAAACCAGTCTCCCGGCACGTCCTGCTCCCACCCTCCATCTGTATCCAGCCTCCCAGATGAGTCAAGTGTAAAAATTCTTTGCCTAGCCCTGAATGCCCAAGGTTTTCTGCTATCTTCTCAAAAGTTCTATGGTTTTGTGTTTTCCATTTCAGTCAGTGATCCATTCTGTGTTAATTTCTGGTAAAGTGTGAGGTTAAGTTTCACGTTTTTACCCTATGGATGCCCGTATTGCTCGGGCTTCATTTGTTGAGAAGGTTATCTTCACTGCATTGAATTTGTTCCTCACCTTTCTGGAAAATCTGTTGAACATATTTGTGTGGGTCTGTTTCTGGGTTTTCTATTCTGTTCCGTTGACCGATGCATCAATAGCACATAGCCCTTCACCAATAGCACACTTTCTAATTCCTGTAGCTGTGTAGTAGGTCTTAATGTCAGATAGAGTGATTTCTCCTGCCTTATTCTCTTTTCAAGATTGTTTTAACTGTTTTTAAGGCTTTTCCCTATAAATTTAAAAATCATCTTATCTATGTATACATAAAACCTTGCTGAGATTTTGATAGGGATTACATGAAATCTATAGATCAATATGGGCAGATGCAACATCTTTACTGTGTTGAATCTTTCAATCCATAAATACGGTATATCTTTCCTGGCCGTTACTTTTGAAAAACAGCTTAGTGTGCTCCTATGATTCTTGATTCAAGGCAAGAATCAATTTTTAGGGCCAGGTGCAGTGGCTCATGCCTGTAATTACAGCAGTTTGGGAGGCCGAGGTGGGCAGATTGCTTGAGGCCAGTAGCTTGAGACCAGCCTGACCAACATGGTGAAACCCCATCTCCACTAAAAATACAAAGAAATTGGCTACTAAAAATACAAACAATTGGTGGCACATACCTGTAATCCCAGCTACTCGGGAGGCTGAGACATGAAAATCATTTGAACCTGGACGGTAGAAGTTTCAGTAAGCTGAGATTGTGCCACTGCCCTCCAGCCTGGGTGACAGAGCAAGACTTTGTCTCAAAAAAAAGAAAAAAAAGTTTAAATATAAGAATGAGTGACTGGGCGTGGTGGCTAATGCCTGTAATCCCAGAATTTTGGGAGGCCAAGGCGGGTAGATCACGAGGTCAGGAGATCGAGATCATCCTGTCTAACACAGTCAAACCCCATCTCTACTAAAAATACAAAATTAGCCAGGTACAGTGGCGGGTGCCTGTAGTCCCAGCTACTCTGGTGGCTGAGGCAGGAGAAGGATATGAACCCAGGAGGTGGAGCTTGCAGTGAGCCAAGATCGCGCCACTGCACCCCAGCCTGGGTGACAGAGTGAGACTCCATCTAAAAAAAAAAAAAAAAGAGCAAGTAGTCAAGTTATTTGTTACTTTTTAGGTAAGGCATTCTAAGTGTTATTTGGTGCATGTGAGGTCAGTGTTAATGGGGAAAAGTGTTAGATGGTGAAAGTCTGAAAATGTATTTTTGCTCCTCATTTTAAGTCTTTTCAAACATACTTTGAGTATCTAGAATAGTGTACAGAATGACTTCACAGACCCCTGTGTCCCCATCCTCCTCGATGGTGGGTATCACAATGTCATGCATCATCTAGAAAGCAACAGGGAGCTGGGAGGGAGGGACACTGATGAGCCACAAGCTGAAGGTAAGTGAACTCCAGCACATTACTAGCCAGATTATCTAGTTGTGTGTAACTCCGTGTGTCTATTTCCCAGTTTCAGTTTTTATTGAAACATTCCAGTCTTGTCTCAAGTATACAAGAGTCATTTGGCCGCATTTGGGCCAATGTAATGATGCTGGCAAGAATGAGTAAGAACCCACAAGAGAAGGGAAATATTGTGGATAAAGTCAGGACCGTGAGGTCCAGCCACTCCTCCGCACTACATGCCTGTCAGAGAGAGAGAGAGAGAGAGAGAGAGAGAGAGAGAGAGAGAGCAGGTGGTCATCAGTCAAGCAGCCAACAAGCACTTCCAAGGGCTGCTGGGAGCCAGATGATGTGAGGGTACTAAAGGTCCCCCACAGTCCCATGGAAGGAAAGGATGTAGATAGATGAATTGCTATACTTAAATATGGGTGCAGGATGAATTACAAAGTAAGATGCAAACTCTCTGTGCCTTGCGGAGTCAGAAGAAAGATGCCATGA